AAAACAAAAAAAGTTTGATCTTGGAACTTGTGTAAGCACGTGGGATTCAGTGGCTTCTAAGCTCCTGTACAGCCTTTCTCATTATCTGTTCCTGGTATCCTGAATGGTTCCTTGTGTTCTTCAGGCTCAGCAGCCCATCAGTTTATGATGCACCATCCCAAAGGAAGGTCCTTCCCTTTGCTAAGCGTTAAAAATACGCCAAAATCTTTGTTCTGTGAGACTTTCCAGAATACTTTTTGGTCTCTTTTTTATCTTCTTTTGGAGGTTAGTTGCCTGTTAATTTGATCAGCGGGTTTCTTGTTGCTGTATGAGCATGTGGTGAGACACTGTGGAGTGACTGCAGTTCTGTGGGACTCGTTTCAATGACGCTCCTTCCTCCTCACAGTGGCTCTTGGGAGAGGAATTGGGATGGCAGAGTGAGTGACAGAGGCAGATGAGTGTTTGTTCTCCACATCCAGGGCCTGTTGGCCTGTGTGCAGAGAGCAGAACTGTGTGGTGTGTTCCTGCATTCCTGCAGGGTCTGTTAAGGCCACTGCTGGAGGAGTGGAGGAACAGCTGGACCAGAGAACAAAGCAGGCAGTGGCACCCCTTGGAGGAAGGAAGGAGCGAGCCCCAGGAAACAGCTGATAGAGCTAAACTCAGCTTGTTTTTTTTCCTCTCTTCAACAGTTCTTGTGCCATGGCAAACAAAAGATGGACGTTCTGATTTGCTTTACTGTTTGGTTTGTGATATCAATCGAGTTTGTTTTGCAGGGATCTGTGGGAAAAGGTAGAGAGCTCTAAACCCTGTTGCTCCTCCTTTGCCCGTTTCTGTGCTGCTGAAAGCTCCAGAGAGTTGTGTTTCTGGCCCTGCATCTTCTGGCAGGTGGATCAGGGTGCTGGTGGAGGGACAGCAGTGAGTGAGGATGTGAGGATGTGGCAGTGGGTGTGGGCACAGCTCGCAGCTGGGAGTGCCCAGAACCCGCTGGCTGCACTGGGAGCTGAGTGCACTTGGGGTTTCACAGGATCACATCTCGGATTGCTAAAAGATCATCATTATGTGACCTTTTAAAAATGTATGCAGGGTCGCATTTCACAGCAGAAACGTTGGTATACTTTCAGATGAGTCATTTCTACTGTGCCCTGTCAAACCACACTGAAAGCAGCAATTCCACTCAACAGAACTTCACTAATGTATCCAAGGGCAACGTTTGGTCATTGCTTTTTAGAGGATTATTGAAAAATTGTATTTTGTGTTGTTCTCAAGATAGTGAAATAAAGGGAGAAGGAGATTTGTGAACCCTTTTCAAAAGCAAGTCAATTAAAATTTAATTGACTGAAAGCTAATGACTATTTTCATATTTCAAACAGCATGTGCAAGTAAGGCACCCTGCTCATCATCACAAACGACAGCATTAAATGGAGAGCAGGCAAAAAATAGCAAGTGTTATCCTGAGTATGCTTCCAAAAGTTGTGTGCCTCTGCAATGGCATATGATTTCTGCCTCCTGTAAAAAGTTGGGATAATGTAACATTCCTTGTCTTTGCGTGTTTATCTCTGTGAGATCACTTGAGCAGTCAACACGTGCTCAAATGGTTCCTTGCCTCGCCAGGAATTCTACAGGAAAGAGGAAAATAATGTGCCTGGTCTTAATCTCAGTCAAAACCCAGTGGACATCCTAGTTGGGTAGAGCTGACAACAAGGGAATTGAGTGTGGGGGTTTTATTTTTCCTGCTTCCATTAAAAGAGTGAAATTTATCCATATAAAATAAGGCCTCGTATGAAAAAGTGGGTTTCAGTTAATATACAGCTTCTGAATTTACTGATATATAACATTGAATTAGAACACCTGTAGAATCATACAAACCTAGTGATTTTTTGTGTGAGAGACATACCAGTGTCCCATACTCAGAGTTATCCATTCTGAGGCATGGTTAGATAATTCTAACTAAATTAAATACTCACTACCAGCCCATGGGAAAGAGACCCCTTCTCAAAAATAATGCATTTATCTTTTCTGGTAGCTTTTAATTCCTTTTTTCCTGCCTTTTTTTTTTTCCTTTTTGCATTTGAGTATATATATATTTATTTATTCCTTGGCCTGCTAAGAGTAATTTAACTCATTACTTTAATGACTTCGCCCTGGGAATCAGTGGATAAGTTTCCCACCTAATACACTATATTTTGTTGCTCAAATCTCACTGCCAGTGAGCTAGTACAGTTTAAAAACTCCCTTCACAAAGCTGTTTCACCTCCTTACATGAACCTCTCCTGAATCACTGAGGCTTTCCTGTTGCCACAGGATCTCTTTTCCTTGGAAGATGATCTGATCCTGGACATCTTGTTCTCCATAATGATGAGTGTGGGGATGTTGGGTTTTAGCTTTCCTCTAATGCTGTCTCCTCTTAAAGCAGAATTAAATCTCCATTGGAAAGATTCTTCCAGTTCCAGAGGCTGAATATTTCCTTTTTTGTCTTCCCTAATACAACAAATGCCTGTGGCTTCAGCATCTTTCTTCCCAAATGATTTTGTTGAAGTTACACTTATGTAGAAATAAGGTAGAAAAGACTAAAATTGATGCTGTTCTCCTCCTTTCTTCAAATATGTGTTTGGATAAAGATAGCAGAGATTTCTGGATTTCTTCCCCCTCCTTGTTTTGCATTTCTTATCTCTTCAGCACCACTGCTGACTCCTTGGGAAATGCATTTGCTTCTGCTATAAAATAGCGGTGTTTTAGTGGGGTATGAGTCTCAGGGGTTATGAAATTGGGTTTAGATTCCTGCTTCTCAGCCTGTCCCTTCATTGTGAATAGCAGGAAAGCTTCAGGACTGGCAGAGATTTGTTTTCAGATCCAATTTTGGATAACATTCCGGATTTCTGCCTTTTCCATGTCAGATGTATCCAGGTCCTGGATGATGATGCTAACTTGCAGCAAAGTAATGCCTTATCAGAAGGACCATGCTGTGCTGTCAGGGCACATTTTGATGATAATATGACTCATCAATTTTTCAGGGCATTAGTGCCCCAGCTTCACCTCAGTAAAAATAAGAGTGGTTATTGCTTCCCAGAAGGAGGGAAAAAAAAAATATTCCAGAAGCCTCTTTAGAGCTGTGTTCACCAATCCACAAGGAGCTCTGTGTGCATCCTTTTGTACCAAAACCTCTCCACTGCTTTCAGCCTCTTCTCTGCCTTCCAGGTTCTTCTGGTGCCAGAGGGATCTGGAGTCTGTGCTCCGTGTTTGGGCACTTGTCCCCTTTTCTGAATAGAGCAGTAATCATACCTAAAGATGCAATCCTGTCAGGGTATCTCTCAATATTAACTTTTACACGGAGAAAGTCAGTGTAAGCAGTATAAATTGCCTGGGGGATGATGTCAGCTGCTGCTGCAGTGCCTAAACTTCTGTGGCTTTAGTGACGTGGGCACCAGTTTTCTTTTAACCTTTTTGTTTTGCTCTCAACCTGGCTGATATTTTTGTTTGACTCATTCCTGTTTTTCAGTGAAATGGAGGATTTTGCTCTATATCCCTAAAAGTAAAATAAAGAAAGTACAAAGAGGAAAACCAAACTGGGTTTAATTTTCTGTCCATTAAGGTTATGTTTTAATTGATGCTAACATGTTCCCTCCTGCACACGTTGTTTACAGTAGAGTCCATCTCATAATGTGTCGTGACACGAGCTAAAGTTTATAGGGAGGTGTGACTTGGAAATATTGTCCCTATATTTGCAAAAGATGGAGGAGTTACCCCAACCCCATAAACCAAAATTTATCTGATGAGCTGTGCTTTTTGTGAGTACAATTTGCCCAAATGAGCTCAAGTTTAAGTTACCTTTTTCTAACTGTTTTGCTTTGGGATGAATCTCGGTCACTGCTTGTATTCTGGTAGCTGTAATAATGACAGTCTCCAATAACCTTTAGTGGGATTTTGCACAAACAAAATTACAGTTTTTAAATTGTAATCCCGGTAACATGTCAGTCCCAGTATTTAAAACAGATAAGAGAGGTTCAGGCAGCTTCTGACATAGCTGCCAGTGCTGGCCGAGTGTGGTAAATCCAAAATCAGGAGCAGCAGCGAGTGCTGGGTCAGCCGAGGGAAGGCTGGACGATGGCAGTCTCACGTCCTCAGCCCTGTGCTGGAGCAGCAGAGAGCACATGGAGAGCCTGATCCCCTCAGCTCCCTCCCAGGTGAACCAGCTCCCCAGGGACACAGGCAGCAGGAGCTATTTGGGACACTGCAGCCTGTCCCCCAGGGGGGATATGCCAGGCTGGGAAGGAAGGAGGCAGATTGCCCTCCCAGACTGCCCTCCCAGAGCCGTCACTGCACAGCCTTTATTCTGACAGCTGGTTCCAGTCAGGAAATACAAACTCATCTTTCACCCCAATGAGTGTCATTTATGATTTATAATGTATAGGTTTACTTTCTTACAGCGGTTTTAGGAGTTTTTCTTGGCCCTTGGTGGTAGAACTTCCATCCAGACCCCAAGAGGGAGGTGAGTGAGAACTTCCTCAGGCAGCTCAGTTACCAGTTCAAGGAGAGTTTTCTCACTGGCAGCAAACCCCTGTGTTGGACCAGTTATAACCATTGAGTGGGGTGGAATCAGTGATTGTTTTGCCTTATTTTTGTCTTTTTTTAAAAAATCTTTTCAAATTGATTGCTACTTGTGTTTGCAGGACAAAGCTAACAACGCTATCTTCAACAGAAAAAAAAAATAATATGGAAGAGGAAAGCAAGATGGACATGAATTTAAAAATAAACCACTTCTAGGTGGAAATTGCACAGACATTTCATTTTTAAAAGCATATTTTCCCATATGCCAAGATGTTTAAAGGCAGATACAGTCCATATGCTAACGCAGTTACACATCCCGCTTTCCAGATGAAAAGAAGTCAATCATGCAGAGTTTCTAGATACAAAATCTATCAGTAGTATTACCAATATTTGGGAAAATTATAGACTGCTGTGTTTAGCTGTATGCATTCCATCAGTGCCATTGTGAGGTAAATGTGTCTGTGTGTTTGCCACAGGCCGGCACAAACGGTTACATGGCTCCAGAAATCCTGAAGGAGGAGGACTACAGCTACCCCGTGGACTGGTTCGCTATGGGCTGCTCCATTTACGAGATGATTGCTGGGAGAACACCCTTCAAGGATTTCAAGGAGAAGGTCAATAAGGACGAGGTTAGAAGGAGAACTCTGGAAGATGAGGTGAAATTTGAACACGCCGGCTTCACGGAGGAAGCGAAAGACATCTGCCGGCTGTTTTTGGCCAAGAAAAAGGAGGACCGTTTAGGAAGCAGGTATGCCTTGTCAGACTCAGGGAAATGCAGATTAAAGCTGCAAACAACATCATTATTTACACATTACACACAATGGGTTACACCTGCACTTTCTGCAGAGTACTGAATTTTCCCTTTCATTTCTTCTTTAGGAAGAGGGAGGTGGAAAGTTTTGCAGATCATACGGAAATAAGGAATGTTGTTGCAATAGTGTGGTTATCTATCCTCACTTCAGACAACTTACAGGAGTTCCCTTCTGTTATTTTCTGTGTTAGACTCTGTATAGTTTTGGGGAGAAGGGGGCAACCCCTTTTTCCTGCACATTCTTTCCTAAAGGTAAATGATATTCCAGTAGAAAGCTGCATCTGTGCTGGTGCAGACCGGGTGCACAGACTCAGGCTGTTATCACTTACTGGAATGGTGTGGGCACAAATCCAAATCTGCAATGTGGATTCTCTTCCCTGCAGATATCTGACTTGCAAGGCTGCGTCACTGGCTCCTTGCTGAACAGACCTTAACCCCTCTGCTTTGCTCAGCTGCTTTAAAAAACTCTCAGACAGATTCTGGTCTTCCTGACTCATCCCAGGGAGAAAAAGGAGGAAAAAAAAAAATCTTTGGCACAAATGCCTATAAAGCAAAATGTTTCTGGGGACTTTACAGGTGGCTTTGGGTTGGTGGAGACTGATGGATGTGTCCCTGACTTAGAAATGTCAAGGAACTGTTCAATAAGAAGAAAACTGCAAAGCTAAACACTGTAGTGTGTGACTTGTCTGTCTCTGATGCCTCTGAGGTGTGTTGGTGTGTGTGTATGTAAATTATTTAGTGCATTTGCAAGGAGGCGGATTGTGGATTTACATTTGCAATATAATAAAAATGTAAAACATTAATAGGAAACTGATAGTAGCTATCTTTAGAGTACCCTACAATTTGAGTCATCTATGAATACAAATATACGTATCAGGTGCTTTTCCAGTCTAATGGTGGAACAGACAAAGGATCTTAATGAAAATGCATAGACTTCTAAATTTATATTTCACAACAATGTGGACCAGTTTTTCAAAATGCTTCAAAAGGCGAACATTTATCTGAAAGAATTTACTCTAATAAAAGATAATATTAATACACATATCTTTAATATTCTAGTGCTAAATGAAGACAGCTGTTCTTTGTGCCTAACGAATTTTCCCAACAACTATGCAAGGCAGCAAAAAAAAGTTATTTTCAACAGCACATAGAGTATGTTTGATACAAAATCTGCATTATTTGTTAACACGAAAACATTTAGAGCGTTCTAACTTACAAGTCAGCACACTTGCAGACATTCAGACTTACAGCATTTCGTGGATTGAACAAATTTCAGAGTAGGAGGAAATGAATTGAGAGATTCTGAGTGACTTGGTCAAGTTCATTCAGCAAGTCTGAAGCAAAACCAGCAACAAATGATTCACTTCCTGTAACCACATCCCCTGTGCCAAGGGAATCATTTACCATCATTCTCTGCTTCTTGTTCCATTCCTTCTCAGCAAGGGGAGCAATGGGCACAAAAAGGTAATTGCACATATTATTTTGAATTTTCTGCTGTTTATCCTTAGGATATCCTTACTCTAATGTGCCATAATTAGAGAAGGAAAGCAATGGGATGTATTCCCTTCCTGGGCACTGTAGAGAATAAAAGCCTGCATGTACCTCTTAAACAGGGCAGTACTATTCAGGACAGCTCATCCTTTTGTGGAGATTAGTACTGTAATTCTTCTAAGGACAACAAGAGCTTGGGTTATCTACAGAAGTGCCTGTTGCATAAGTTAAAGCTGCTCAAAGACAGCTTTACTTTGTACACCTGACCTTTTAAAACACTCCTCTCTTGAAGGTTCCATTTCCCCAGGAAAGATGGAACCCCTCTTCTCCACTCGAGCTTTTTGGCATTGACATCTCAAATCCCAAACCTGTGAAGTGATTTTTTTAATTTTTTTTTTTTTTTTTTTCAATGGAAGAACACAGAATTGCCCAACTTCATGTGAGTTGGTTTGCTCTTCCTGGTAAAGTTACGTAAAAAGGCAGTTCACAGAGGAAGAGCTTAAGTTCACCTCCAGCTACTTTGGAAGATGCCTCAGTTCCAGCAGATGGCATTCACGTAGCTTTCCATTTTGTAACTTTTTTATGGTTTCAGGAGGAGGAACACTGCAGCAATCCATTTTGGAGCCTCCACCAGCTCCTGGTGCCGTTTGGTTTGTGTTACAGAAAGGAAAAGCGAAATAAAGAGGAATTTCTGTGAGTGCACCTGGCCAGTGGAATGTCAGTGCTCTTGGCCCACGAGTGTGCCAGGACATGAGTTAATGTGAGCAGCAGCTCTAATGCACTGCAGGCTCCCAGTGAATGTGTAAAGAAGCCATGGCAGGCTGCTCAGGTGCTCGATATCATTCGCTGGGGAAGTTAGGAGATGATTTTGCAGCACATATATATGCAGAAGTCCTGATCCCTGCGGGCCCAATCTGTATGATTGTGTTCATATGCCCCTTTGGGGTTGAAAATACAGCAGGGGGGCTGAAAAGGGCAGCTGGTGGTTCCATCCTGGCCATGCCTGGACAGCAGCAAGGGAGGAACAGGCAGGAGCAGCAAGCTGGACAAGCTGTTCTGAGGGAAAAGTATCGAGGCCTTAAAAAAGGAAGGTTTTTCCATAGTCACACAAATCTTCTGCTTCTGTGTGGTGCTTCTGCACACTTGCAAAGACTTGCCAAATGTTTGTATTATATTTTCTTCACAGAACATTGTCTAGAAATACGTGAGGGCTTCCACTTCGCTCAGTGTGATTTTTGTAAGGAAGTGGGAAAAGCAAAAAGCAATGTCTTAGGAACTGCCACTTTCTGAGGGCAAAACCCAGACAAATTTGGTTTTCCTGTGTTCCTGTTTTCAAGAGCGGTGCATTCATAAATACATCAAATAAAAAGAATGCACAGGTGTGGAAAATACAGTGCTCCTCTCTGCTCCTCCTTCCTCTAGAATTCAAAACTCAGCCTTGGCACACCTTGACACTACAGGCACAGTTCAAAAGCTGTGGTTTTTGGTCGTACTTTAGTGAGACACAGTTGAGGCTCAGATGGTTCTTAACGTCACCATAACCCACAAGTCTCTCTGTGGATCTCCAGTGAAAAAATTCAAGTGTTTTTCTTACAGCTGAAGTTCTCCCTGAGGTCTGCAGATGTTGTTCCTAAGATGTATTTAACTTCTGCATTTACAGTTATTTAGTCCTCTCTTGGTTTTATTATTAGGTATTTACAGTATTAATAAAGGATTGTGTTTGTGACAGTGGCACACATACTTTTGTTAATGTCATAATTTGTGAATCTCTTGCCTAAAAAAAAAAAATCTTTGTTCATTTATAAGAGTATTTATTTTGAATGAACAGAGTCACTAAAAGCAGGAGTGTTTGTTTGAGTGATATAACTGAGTTTTATGATGTAAATGAGTAGTTGCTTTGAATTAAGATAAACCCAGCAATGTCACTTGTCACCAGTTTCCTGTGGTTACTCAGATATATCAGTCTCCAGATACATTAACCCAAGGTACCCCAATCTAGAGTTTAATGGATATTCTTACCCAGGATTAGAGGACAGATATTCTTATCCTGGTTAGCACAGAGCCAGTTGTTGGACAGTAAATCCCAGAGTCCCCCTCAGCCTGTTGTGTGGGAATGCACCTTTGGATGGGGGTGTCCCAGAAGCAGCTCTGCAGCTCCTGCCTGGCACCTTGCCCAGCCCGGTTTACCCTGGGAGGTGGAGCGGTGAGTAATGGGATCAGAATGTTTTCTGCTTCCCAGCTTTGCTTACATTGTGCAATGCAGTGTTCTTTGGTCAGGAAAAGAGGAATTGTGTTACATTACATACATCCATCTCCTTATTTTAAACCACTGTCATGTGTAAAACACAGACACACCCGCACCTCTCTGGGAGCAAAACATCCTGCCCATTAACCACCTTCTGCTTTGTTGCAGAAATGCCGACGACGACCCGAGGAAACACAATTTCTTCAAAACCATCAATTTCCACAGGCTAGAGGCAAACCTCATCGACCCTCCCTTCGTGCCAGACCCGTCAGTCGTCTATGCCAAAGATATCGGAGACATTGCTGACTTCTCTGAGGTGCGAGGCATCGAGTTCGACGACAAAGACAAGAAGTTCTTCAAGAGGTTTGCGACGGGGGCCGTCCCCATCCCCTGGCAGGAGGAGATCATCGAGACGGGACTGTTCGACGAACTCAACGATCCCAACAGGGTCGAGTCGGGCGGTTACGCCAACGGAGGGGAGGCCAAGTCAGGAGTCTGTTTGTTGTTGTAAATACCTTGTCGCCCCCAAAGAGAGTAGAAACCACCTCTGAACTGCCCGTGCTCTGGCACCGTTCAGAGCCTCAGTGCAGCTGTTTGAGGAGAGCCAAGCAGGGGGATGTGACATTGGCAGGCCGGGTAGGACGATGAGCTCTGTAGACTGGGTTATTCCCCTCTGTTCTGACAGAGGAGATGATATTTTTGTGCTCTGGGAGATGTATCGAATGAAGAACCGTTATTTCTCCGAGAAACTTAGAGTAGAAATCCTGAAATACAAAAAGCAATGAGAGAGTGAGGAGGCAACAGCTTTTGAGAATGACTGGTTACCGTTTTGAATACAGTGATTTGTTGGTTTTCTTTCTCTTTGCTTGTTACTTCTACCAACATTCCCTCAGTCCACAGTTTCCAGGAAGGATTTTTTAATTTTCGAGTAATATCCTCAGTTAGACAGTGGAGCTCATGTACCATGTCAAAATTTGGATCCTGTTGGTTAGCCAGTCTGTCTGTTGTTTTCCTAAGTCCTGTTAGTTTTTGGATGATTTGATTGTAATATGTTCAGATTGTCATAAAATATAAAGAAAGCTCTATCATTAGGAAATAAGAACTATTTTCAAAGTTGATTTTAATGAAGTGAAGATGAGATTGCACCAAATCTAATGGAATAAAGCATTTATTTATTATTATTAAGTGTATTCTTTCAAGTGATAATACCATACACAAAGAAAACATATTTGTAAGTACACATTCTCTTTGACAGCTTTAAACTTAATCAGGTTTCCTGATAATTCTTCTGTATATTAGTGATAAATTAAGCTACAGATAGACCAAAGCAATATGTTATTGGCTTTTTACAAGACATTTATTTCAGTGCAATACAGGTTTTACTTCAGTAAATGCGTTATCCTGTTAAGTGCTGTAATGGTGGAAAGGTTATGTATGCAAGTTGAAACTATCTTCAAACGTTTATTGATTCTCATGCAAATTTTGATGTGTTTTTATTTTTCAATTCTATGACAACCTGAATTGAATTAATTGGAAACATTTCGGTCAATACTTGCTCCTGGAGAAGTGTGTCACTCACGAGAGGCCTCCTGCTGATCTTCTGTGGTAAGAAAGTAGGCAGCAGTTTGTTTGCACAGCTTTTAAACTGATCCTGCATGCTGCTTGTGTCATCCAGCCAGCCACAACTGCCAGTGACTGCAGTGGAAGCTGAAGCTGCTCCGTTCCTTGGACTCCTGGAGGTTGTTGATGCCCCATTCTCTCTTCTCCACGTGGAAACCCCTCCTGACCTCAAAGACTCCCGTTACAGAGGCTTTGGGATTGAACCCACCTGTCTGTTTTAGAAGAGGAAAACCAGTAGATGTGATGTCTTCCATAGTCAGGTCTGTCCTGGGCATAGCTTTAGTGTTTATTTACAATCCAACAGCTCATCCCAAACATTGCAGTGAACAAAAACTCCTTGGTTGTAAATACTTTAAGTGATTCAGTCACAGCTAAGCGATACATTGGTAATACATTATGTTGTTCTAAGCAAAAAATGTAAGTGTTCTTTTTTTCCTTCCAAATTTGCTTTTCCAATGCTTTATATACCTAATTTTCAACTGAAAATGGTAAAAAACAGTGCTGCTTAGGATTAGTGGATAATTCTGTTCATTAATTATGAGCATATAATTACCTGCCCTTTGAGCCTTTCTATCAGGTAGTTTAAAACAACATAAGCTGAATTCTGACTTGGTCTGTTAATTGAGAAGGGTGATCCTGAAAGATTGTGAAAAGCAGAGGAAGTTGAAAGGAACCCCACAAAAATCACCCCCCCCCCTCCCCCCACTTTATTATAGCTCGGAGAGACCTGGAGGTACTCTGAGGTACCATAATGGTAAGTGGCTCCTGAATCACTCAAAGTAGCACATCAGAACTCTGATAATGCACAGTTTGGCACAGTAGATGACAGAGAAGAATGTGTTAGTTTGAAATATTTCAATTTTTTTAAAGTTCTCCTTCTCGACATGGACAACTTCTTTTTACACTATGGAGAGGGGGCAGGGCAGAGATGATTTCTGTAGTCCTGTTAGAATTTTCAGTGAGCCTTTAAAAACTAATTTCAGCTTCTTTTTAAGGAATCTGTGAAATGCTTGGGTTTTTTTCGTCTTCCTGCCACTGTAGAGTTCCTTGGTAAACTCTGAGGAGCAAAGGTATTTAACAACCTGCCTCATCCTAACAAAGCCAGCAATCTCAAAAGATTTACATGTTCAGTGAACTGTCCTACTGCAACCAAAGGTGCTGCTCACGTGAGTAAACTTGAATGTGTGTGCAAGTGTTGCAAGATGACAAAAGCAATGATCCGGTCACTGGATGTTTATGGTAGAAAAAGAGGGATGAATTTGGGGGGGGGGGGGAATAACCTTGTGGTTGTGAGTCGAGTTCTTATGGCAAAAGAAAACTCACGTCGTTTGAAACTGCGATTTTTTTTTTTCTCCTCTCTTTTTCCTGCTTTGCCAGCTTTGTGGTGTCTCACTTTTCTATTCCAGCATGAAATAGGTGTTGTGATTGGAACCTGCAGGGGGCACATTCCAGGCTATGGAGCAGCATCTGTACCAGGGAAGGCAACTTTGCAGTCAGTTAAGAGCATCTCAGCAAACACAATACTTGAGGGAGTTATTTCTTCAACCACAAACACATGCAAAGCAGAAGTAAGATGAGATCTCCAGTTGGATCTCACAGCCTGTAACTGTGCAGTTGTAGTTATAAAGTGATGAATGGTTTTATGGACTTTTAATATCAGCATGATTTTTAGATATTACTTGCTTATAATACTGTATTTAAAATACTGTTGCTTTTACAACATTTAATTATAAATATGTAACATTTTTCTCATTTGAATATCCACATCTGTGATTAGGATAATGTTATTTACCTTAAAAAATACAAATCACTTCTTTGATGTTATGACAATAACTTTTATCTTTTCAGTATTAGTTTTTAATACAAAAATATTTAAATTCCTTTATGCTGTAATTAATTGTAAAAAAAAAAGTATTTTAATTATGCATAGTATTTTTTCCCCATGTGACTTTATTTATAAAGAGGCATTGCATTATTCCAGCAAACAACTCTCAATCCAGTATTTCATTTTTAAAAAAACAGGCCAAAAAAATGAAGGAAATCTTAGGAAATCGTTGGGTGTTTCTCTGAATTTCCCTGAAGCGTTTTGTTTTCTGGTTAATGTACGCCAATACGTGTGTTTGGTAGAATGACTTAAAAAGAAAGAAGATTTTAATTCTGTACACAGGCATTACGTGAAGTTAAACATAACTAATGAATTCTGACATGAGCTTTCTCAGTTGTTCTTTACCAAACCTACACGTCGGCCTGTGCAATTCACAGAAGTTGCCCTGACAGTTACATTTTACAGAGTGGAAAGACCCAGCGAGGCTGAACGACACCCTCAGGATGGGAGTTCCTCACGGGGAATGTTGCCGTGATTCGTGTTTTTATAAAGAATGCCAGAGGGATGACTGTGGATACATCACTTGTCACAACTTGTAGCTCAGTTAACAATGGTGGAGTAACTGTTTAAGCAAGCAGCTATTGTCAGGGGTGTTCGGTGGTGTTTTCTCTGCAGCGCTCCACGCCAGCGCGACGTGGCATGTGCGAGACGCGTCTCGTGACTGGTGGATGGCTGGAGGGAAAGGGCTGCTGCGAGTGAGAACAGCTTCGTTAATCAGTCCTGTCCACAAGCATTCCCCCAGCAACACGTGCTGTTCCCACTGGGCACCTTCTGGG